CTGAATGTGAGATTTCTGGAATCGATGAAGTTGTTTTTGTGTGGATGCATAAAGTTTTATGTCATCCATGTACATGAGATGTGACAGTGTAAACTGTGTTGTTTTTTCATGTCTGATATCGTAATCATATTGTGTGTTGTTTAACATATTAGATAATGGGTTCAAGGCTAGGCAGAACCAGAGAGAACTCAAGGAGTCTCCTTGAAAAATTCCTCGCCTAATGAATATTTGTTTTGTTAGTATTGAAGTATTATGTACCCTGAGATGTAGTATTGTTCTCCAGTATCGCATAGTGTTTTGGAAGAATGCAATGAGTGATGGATATATTTTGTATATGTGTAGAATATGTAGCAGCCAACTGTGTGGAACAATGTCAAATGCATTTCTGTAGTCTATTTATTATTATTATTAATTAACAAAAACAGTGTTCTGTATACATATCCATATTCCAGTTTCTTAATAAATTACATCAGTTACAAAGCATTTGTCATATTGTACAGATATATGTAAATCTCAGATAATTCAAAGTCATGATTATTTTGTCCTCTGAATTTCAAGCTAACAAGAATTTCCTGTATATACTCTTTAACTGAAATTAGTAGTGTTTTACCCCTGTACATCATACTTTTCCTGTTAGCAATAGTCATGCTGATCATCTATCTAATTCCTTTCAGGAGAAAATTTTGAATTAAAATAATGTGACTTCTGGTTTGCATTGGAAGTTTGTATATAGTTAATTGATGCCTCCTGCCCCTAATCTTTCCATATTGGCTTTCATCTATCTAACTGTTCTTGAGATTAAGGAAGGATAGACAGATGACAGTAGGAATTTACAGATCTATAATTTTTCAAATTGCAGCCCAATAACAAAATATACTTGTAGAGCAGAAGGGTTTCTATGGGAAGTCCAATTTCAGGCAATTTATGAGAGTTGGTATTATTATGATGATTAGAAGGGAACATTTTACCAGAATTCTCAGATCACATCATCATGTATAACAGATACATCGACAATGTCCTCATTTTGTGGTGTAATGAATATGACATTGAAAGCTTTATTTATATGAAAAGTCAATGATAAATCCATACAGCCTGTAGCTCAATTGTGAACAGAAGAGCTATAGAAATGTGCATTTCGTAGACCTATCAATTATTTTGAGAATGGAGAAATAACTAAAAAAGTTTATAGGAAATGAGAATATCATCTGCTGTACATCACTGCAATACTGAATAATCCCTTCACCTTTGAGATCACAGCCTTTATAGCCCTAATAAGAAGGAAATTCACACATTGCTCAAGCATAACAAAAACTGACCAGGAAATAAGATTCCTTACAGAAATTGTGAAGCAATATGGCTATCCATCAAGACTAATCAAGAAATTAATTTGTAAATATACTAACAAGGATCTGAAACAAAGAGACGCAATGAAAAATCAGGTTATTCCAGGGTTATTAATTATAATCACATATTTAAAAACATACACAGAGAAGTGACATGCACAAGTAATGACAACATCAGTTACAAACAAAACCTTAACTTATATCAACTATTGAAAAATGACAAAAATCAATGGGACCCCTCCAGAATCCTAGGGGATACAAAGTTCCAGTTTAAGACAACAGATTTGAAACTGAGTAAATATATAGGTTTAACATTTAACATCATTATCTGCATGCATTAAAGAACACCAATGGAGCAACAAAAAGGATATATAAGTAACTGCATTGGTAGCATGCACAACAACTTCAGAGATATAAGTCAATCTACGTGTGGTCAAGATAATCAGACCAATCAGAAAACAGGACGATCTTAGAAGCCTGGAGCAATTTGAGATACACTTATTCTCAAGAAATAAAAAAATATATAAATTGGAATGGAAAACTAGAAATGGAGACTTTATCAAGCACAAAGAAGGCAATGTGTGAAATTCAATAATAAGCAGATGGACAATAATTCCCAAGCACACACATTAATATGAAGTAAAGTGAAATAGGATTTTAATTGAAAGACTGCATTAAGAAAATATCTATATTCTATGTTATATATAAGTTTGGATTTATATTTATATGTATTTTTATTTTTATAATTTTTTTAGTTTTTAAGAATGTTAAAGAACATTAAAGTTTGAATTTCAAAATGTAAAATTTAAACTGTTCTAAATTAGAATGTCATAAGGAATGGTAACATTTGTATCCAATAAATGTTAAATTTTTCAAATCTTACTCATCTGAAGATGGCCTTTGAATAAAGTCAAAAGCATTTGCAAATTAAAAAATAGGTTACTGGAATTAGAGTATAAGGAATGGTTTCCAGTTAAGAGAATCTACTTAACCATACTACTCCAGATATATATAAACTTTTAAACAAAATCTTAGAACTGATTGATGTAATATGCTATTCGTCCTTCATCTTTGAGGACAATACAAATAAACAAAACAGAAGGGATATCTCATACCCATGATTGGTCTATTCTTTGAACTTGTCTGTAATGTAGAAAGTGTAGTTATTCCTATATTCAATTCTTATTGTATAAAATATATCAATCATATTAAAATTATATGGTACAAGAAGGTTGACATTGTAATTTCTCATGAAGATAAATGACAACCTGTACAGGCTGAAACTAAAACTAGATCAAGAAAGCAGTCCTAATGTGCATTTTGGTGATATTGACATCACATTGGCCAGAGGTCAAATTCACATAAATATAGATAGGAAACAAACTTTCAACCTTCTGTGCATCCCTGCCAACTCACACAGCCTCTTAAGATATAAAATATCAGCATTTCAAGCACTCATCCCATTGCTCAAGTGTTTATGGCAGATGGAAAAATCTATATTAAATCTGTATCTAAAAAGCTATACTGAATAATTCCTCAGATTACTTAGTTGTTTCTTGATCTAATTGTAATTTACATACAAATAATGAAAAAACTAAGTGGTTATATTTTAACTCTGTCTGATTCAATAATTAATTAGAGATCTGTAAAGCAGCCACTTGTGGCCTTCCTACATATAAAGCTGAACACAGCCTTGACAGATATACTGAAGAAAGAAAATGGCTGAAGATATTTTTATTAGAAATAGGTTTTCTTAACTTGTATTTCAAAATATTAATAAATAGGAACAAGTATCTTAGTGGCCAAACATCTGGCAGAAAATCCAATTGTGAGAAGCCATGGGTAAAGTCGATCGTTTACTTTACCACTTATTCAGCAATGAGTCAGTGAGACTCGCTCACTTTGTCAATGGATGGCTTTATTTGGATATTTGGACAAAAGAACACAAATTCTCTGTCCAGTCAGGACTGACACCAGCTAGAGTAGTATATTCGCACCCTAACTCATGATAAAACTTTAAATGAATCTAAGAAGGAGGGCTTAATTCTATGAATGAGGATATCGTAAGTTCTTCAATAGGTCTATATGTAGTTTAATTAATTAATCAAACAAATTATTTGATTAACAACGAACAAATGATGATTAAAAGTTTTTGGAAACAACTATGTCTTTTTATCTTTAAAGAAAATTTTATCATCCAATGAAATTTTAAAATTAAAAAATTTTGTAATAATTTGCCGCCAGAGGGAGGAAAGAGGATAATCTACATTAAACAGCGCAAATTTCCAGTGGATATAAGGATCCAAAACTCCCGAACGGAGAAGGATGAATAAAGCAAGACATTGTAAGGTCATCAATTCCAATTTTAAGAAAAATTATTACTTTTTAATTGGTTTATTTCTGTGTTTTAAGGAACTTTTTCCAGGACAGCCACGTAGCCTAAAAAGAAAGGTCTAGTCATCTGAAGTTTTTACTATGGAACATTAAAAAAAAAATAAATGATGGTCACCCAAGTTTTTGGAAATGACTACGTCTTTTTATTTTTAAAGAAAATTTTATCATCCAGTGAAATTTTAAAATTAAATGAAAATTTAATGAACAAAAAGGAAAATACAAATAAAAACAATATAATATCATATATACAGAGAGAGAGTTTACAAAATTATAAAAATACCTCTGTATTATATACTTTCCTTTCTTTATGGAGGTGGAAGTATGGAGACCAGGCACAAAATTATATGGCTTGACGAATCACTCGTTACGATTAATCCATGCTGAGTCTGATGTGCTAAATCCTTTTATACTTGAAGTTATCTCCAATGAGGAGTTAATTTCTTTGTCATATGACAATGAGTTGGGTTAGTTCAGAGTTTAGTCATTGGATACGATATGACTTTTTCAAGGAAGCAAATAGTTGGGAAAGGAAACTGTATTTCCTTATCCTCTCTTAATTTCCTTCAAAAAGTGGAAAAATGTACAATTTTAACATCAAAGTATTACGTTGATTTTTAAAATTTAGAAAGATAAATTAATCTAATATTCGGATTCTCAAACAATGAAATATCAAAGAAAAATAAATTTAAAATACTTTTTCGGTAAAGATTAATGAAAGTTGAAGATTTGCAATATTATCAAGTAAAAATATAATTGCAGATGGAATGACTAATTAATTAGGACCAAAACTGCTACAGAAAGCAATATGATATTATGGATTATGTGAAACTGCTTAAGGCAGTTTGTTAAATTATATATAAAATGCCATATCATAATTTTTTATGTATCTTCATATTTTCATAGCTATTTGCTCCCTATTTAAACCACAGACCAAACAAACTCTCTTGTTTCCCTCTTCATTTTGATATAAAAAATGCAGTTCAGTTCTGCTCTAGTAACGATGTGTATTGGTTGTCTTGTTTTATTAAGTTTAACTCACATTCATTTATATCCATTTAACAAAAAATTTAAAAACTTTTCTCAGACACATCATAACTATATTAAACTGTAGAGGATTATATAGCATGTTGAACTTATATAATTAATATGTTGAAGGGGAAGTTATGTAACAACATCATCTTTTTTTTCTACAATAAATACTAACTAGAACAGTAAATTAATATAAAATAACTCAAAATATGATTTACTTAAACTACTACTAACTTTTTATCCCAATTTTTGATTGTTTTCTATCATCAAAAGAAAAGTGATTGCACAATCAATGAAAGCATTTTTCCACAGTTGCACAGACCTTCAACACATCATCCAACAAGCAAGCAATTCAAATTATTTATAATTGCATATTGGTTAGGAGTATAATGACTTTTTACTCATTTTTGTATACTAAAGCAAAAGAATCAGTTTGTATCATTTTATTTAAATTATTCTAATCCAATTATTCATAATATGTTAAACTTTATACACAAAGCAAAAATGAAATATATAGTCTATAAATCAAATTTACATCTTCAAATTAAGTTTGCAAATTTTACATATATAAATTATTATATACAAAAACATTTCTTACCTTTTTGTTCCTTTTATTTTTGACTTTGTAGATGTTTTATTAAAACTATGTGGTACAACATGATTTAGAACAGGTGATTTTTTAAAATTACTGTTGAATAAGTTGTTTTCTTCTTTAATGGAAGCTTGTTGGAAAACAGGTTTTTCCAGTTTTTCAATTTGAAGTTTCAGCTAGAATAGAATTAATTAATTATTAATAATAAATCAATGCTTTAGAATACATTTAAAATATAAATTAAGATAACTGATATTTTTATTCATTATTTTGAAAAATGTTAAAATAATTATATTTAAAAATTATGATGATTAGTGTTCAGAAAAATCTAGATAATCTTTGGAATGCTAACTTTTTATCTTAGAAACTAAGATAATTTTCTTTGTTTTTTTTGTTTATATGTGTGTGAAATAAAAATTTCATTCATTTACAGTCAATCCCCCTATAACACGGGTTCCTATAGTTCGGATTCCTATATCATGGCAAAAAAATTGCGACAGTATTCGTACAAACATGCTAAAAAAAACTCCTATAATTCAGTAAAACGTCATCGCCGACTCGTGTCGTGACAGGATTGGTCGAATCTAGACCAATAGTGGATATTGCACAAACCGTTGAGTTTAAACGAGCAGCGGACCTACTAAAACCATTCATTATTTAACGTCCATAAAAATTATATTTATATTAATGATGTCTCCAAAGTTCAGCAAATTTTTCACAAAAAAAAAATAATTTATCAGGAAGCACACGAGCGCCATTCAATGACAAGCTCCATGACAAAAACAAGCTTAAGCAATGGCGTAGTCGAACGGTGCACACTCGGTAAGTAATCCTACAATTTTTTGTTTATAGCATAGTTTATATGGATTATTCCCAAAAAATTATACGTATTTTGGAAATGTTGAGTCGAATTAGTCTAGAATCAATTAATTTTATGGAAGAAACCTTTCAAACAGCCGTAGTCTGTAAACTGCATACGTGCCAGGCTGTGATTGGCTGGACTCGTAAAAAATGGATTCATAAAAACTGGAACGTATCTACCATGTTATAGAGGTGGTCAACTGTATATAATTTTAGAGGTACAGATAATTTTTGTTAGAATTGAAGCAGTCATTTACCATGGGGGTGACTAGTATATGAATATTCAATAGTAAGAAAGCTATGTTCAAATTTAAATGCATTTATCTTACTACAGTATTGTGCAAATTAATGTGAACACAAGTGAAAATTTGAAAAGAAGACATTTATTGGTTAAAGATGAATAGAATTGAAAAATGAATACAATTTAAATTGTTTTAATATGAAATATGTCCTCCCTTGGCTTTAATAACTTCTTGAACACGTTTTGGCATGGAATCAATGTCTTTTACAGTTTTCTGTTATTTGCTGGTCTCGAAACCATATCTGGATTATAGCTTCAATCAGTTTTGTTTTTGTTATGCAATCTATTTTATGAAGTCTAGCTTTTACTATAGCCACAGATTTTCAATCGGATTAAGATCTGGTGAATTTCCTGGCCATTCAAGGCATGATATCTTTTTGTCTTTGAAATATTTAATCATGACCTTGAAAACATGACAAGGAGCCGAGTCTTATATACTGCTTGATCATTGGCATCAACTTTTCTTAGTTCAACTTCCAATCTTTGTTCTAACAAGTCTCTCTATTTTTGCAAGTTCATCATGCCTTCAACCGGCACAAGGGATCTGGTACCTTTATAAGAAAAACAGCCCCAGAACATCTTCTTTAACAGATGTTTAACTGTTTGATCAATATCAGCTGCCGTAAGTTTTTTGTTGTCATTTTTTCTAACGTAACAAGATCATTGTCCTTGTACCAAAAAATGGCTCTCATCTGAAAACAACAATTTCCTCCAATCTTCAACAGTCCACAGCTCACAATATTTTTTGTCAAATCATATTGTTTTTTTCATCATGGCAGCAGTCAATAACTGTTTCTTTTGAGGTCTAACTATTTTTCTTCCACCTTCTGTAAGTGGTTTTGGTACAGTGGAGTCATGAACAATAACTCCAACATGTGCTAAGTCTTGCTGAAGTTCTTGACTGCTTTCTCTAGATTTAATTTACTTTCCCTTATTAAAAAAGCTTCATCCTTTGCTATTGTCTTTCTTTTCCTTCCACATTTCCCTTTTCTGTTCACCTCAATCGTCCCAGTGTCCATTTTTTGCTTCAAAATCTTGTTTACAGCTCCTAAACTCACATCACATTCCTTGGCAATATCTCTTTGAGTCATTGATGTGTGTTCACTCAAAGTAACAATCTTACCCCGTATTCACCAAAGCGAGTTAAACAGAGTTGACGAACTCCAGTTTAGATGTAACTCGAAGTCAGATCACGAGTTATTCTTCTTTCATATTCACATAAAAATATAACTCTAGAGTAGCGAAACTCTAGAGTTAACATTTTAAAACAATCCTGCATTTGAGATTAAACAAGTCTTCTTTCATAAGCAGAGTCTTGATTGGTTGAAAGCAAACATGTGTAGAAAATGGCAGAAAGTAAAATGGAAAATAATGCACGCTGTAATTTTACTAATTTTGAGAAGGAAATTCTACTCGAATTAGTTGAAAAGTATAAATCTATAATCGAAAACATAATTTTTCAATGACGTAGAAACTAAATTGTGACCAATTCGTTCTAGTATGTTTCTTACGCTCTCTTTTGGCAAATGATATCAATTAGTGATGCCACGAATAGTGATTTTGCCGAATACCGAATACCGAACATTCAGCTACGCTCTTGGCCGAAGCGCCGAATATTCGGCAGCCGAATGTTCGGCAAAATATGTGTACAGTACATTTCGCGGGTGATATGTTACGACCTGATACATTACGGTGGGTGCGGTGGCGACACTGCGGGCACATTTGTTTTATTTGCGAGTAGATCATGTCACAACATGCATTATTTGTTCATTGTTACATCAAATTGCGTTACTAATTATTACTAAAAAATATCACTGTATCACTTTATATGAAAACTGTTCGCCTAGATCGGACGGCAGACCTTTACAAGTGGTGGTCAGCAAACGCAAAACAGTATCCAAGCCTGACAGAATTCGCTAAGATTTATCTATCGTCTCCCAGCAGTAGTGTATATAGTGAGAGGCTATTTTCAGAAGCAGGTATAGTTTATGAGGAAAAGCGCAATCGTTTGCTATCAACAAATGCTGAAAAAATTGTTTTCATTCATTACAACTTACCACTGATAGATTTTAAGTATTAAATGTAATAATTTATGATTAAAATAAATACGTTTTTGAGTAATATGTGCGGTTTTTTTTTCATGATTTGGTATTCGGTATTCGGCCGAATGTTGCGTACTATTCGGCCGAATACCAAATATTAAAAAAAGTAGCCGAATACCGAATAGTAGCCGAATATTCGTGGAATCTCTAATATCAATATAGAAAGTTGTAATTGTTCAATTGTTCAAGGTCATTTCTTCTTGGAGAAATAATTCTTTGTTCCATACCGCCAACTTCTTTGTTCCATACAATCTATATAATATAACAAATAACAAATATGTACTGGAAGTAGAATAAGTTAAAAAATAAACTACACCGATATAAATCCAGCAAAATTTAATAAAATAATAATGTTTTCAACCATTATTATTTTATTAAATTTATTATAATTTTATTAAATTAAATTGTAGATCTATATAATCTAGATATTTCAGATTTTCTAGCATCTCGGCTTCGTCCTCGTCGAATGTCCCCATTTTTCCCTAAAATAGATCGCTTTGCACAGACATCAAACCCAAAGTTATCGTCTACTCACTGATTTTCTAGAGTTAGAGTTATTGTGTTTGACTCGAGATTCACAGTTGGTGAATACCAATTTACCAATAACGTGAGAGTTAACTCTAACTCTAACTTGCATTGGTGAATATGGGGGTTAGTGCGCTTTTTGGAAGTAATATCCATCTTCAAAAAAAAAAAAAAAAAGCTAATAAAGCCTCAGTTCAGCTTAACTTCACCAAAAACACAGTAGTTAGAAAAAAATAACAAAATGCAACACATCTGTAGCTTGGTATGTCTTATTACTCACTGACTGTCAGATCAGTAAAAGAAAATGGCTGCTACATTGACATAAACGTGTTGCCAATTACAAAAAAAAAAAAAAAAAAAAAAAAAAGCAAAATTGTGTTAATTATAATGTGTTCACATTAATTCGCACAGTACTGTAGCATGGACTTAAATGTTTTAGCTTTTTAAAAATCATTTGCAACCAAAATAAAGCACAGTTTCAGGAAACAAAATCTTCAATGATCAACACAATTGTAAAACAAGATTTTTGTGTACAGTTTCTGACATTTGGACAACCAACAACAAGAGTTACATGGGAGTGACCATTCATTATATTGACTCAAATTCATATGACCATAAATAATTTTTTTAGCCTGTTACAAGTTCCAATACAAATGCATACATGACAGAATTGCTAATCTCTTATAACAAATTTTCTATGACTTTACAACATGTGGAGGAAAATAATTCATACAGTAACAGACAGTGTAAGTAACTTTGGAAAAGCATTTAATATATAAAAACCATAAAATAAACTGAAATGATATATAGCAGGGGTGGCCAACCTGCGGCTCGTGAGCCGCATGTGGCTCTTTGAATGATTATTTGTGGCTCTCAATAAATGTACCCGAGTTCCCTTTTCATTTTTGTGTTATTATATTTTTAAAAATTATTATCGTTCTGTATGTGTTTCAAAATGTCTTTTAAATTACTAACAACAAATATGAAAAATTAAGTGCAACGTTGTAACAAATTTAATTTCCGTCCAAGTTAAGAATGATATGACTCATGGAAAACTGCGCGAACGAACATAAACAGTGGCATAATCGTCCGTTATCGACCGACTCCAGACCGATTTTGAATTTGTAAACTGTCATTGCAATGGACAGCTGACATTGTGCTCTGGAAGAAACAATTTGTATCACTCTTGCTACGGATATAATTTGTAATCTGGAATTTTTTGCATACCTTTTTAATACGTATTTAATTGCGGCTCGCGAAAAATTTCAAATTTTGAAAAATGGCTCGGACTATCAAGAAGCTTGGCCACCCTGAATATATAGACTCTCACCTAAACATCAAATTTCCAGCAAAACACCCAAATTCAACATTCAAACATTTTCAGCTA